GTTAGAACTGGATATGGAACAACTGATTGGTTCAAAATTGGGAAAGAAGTACGACAAGGCTATATATTGTCCCCCTGCTTATTTAACTTATATGCAGAATACAGTGGTGCCTCGCAAGATGAAATTAATTCGTTATGCGAAAATCGCTGTCTTGTGAAAACATCGTCTTGCAAAACGCGGTTCCCCATTGGAATGCATTGAAATCTATTTAATGCGTTCCAATGGGGGGGGGAACCATCTTGCGAAGCATCGGTCTTTTAAAAAAAACCGTCTTGCGAAAATCATCCATAGGAAAAACTGTCTTGCGAAGCACAACAGCGATTGCAAAAAAAAATCATCTTGCGGATTAATCATCCCGTGAGGCATTCGTCTTGCGAGGCACCACTGTACATCATGAGAAAGGCTGGACTGGAGGAATCCCAAGCCAGAATTAAGATTGCCTGAAGAAATATCAACAACCTCAGATATGCAGATGATATCCCTCTGATGGCAGAAAGTAGGAGGAATTAAAGAACTTCTTAATGAGGGTGAAAGAGGAGAGTGCAAAAAATGGTCTGACGCTCAACATAAAAAAAACTAAGATCATGGCCACTAGTCTCATCACCTCCTGGCAAATAGAAGGGGAAGATACGGAGGCAGTGACAGATTTTACTTTCTTGGGCTCCATGATCACTGCAGATGGTGACAGCAGCCACGAAATTAAAAGACTCCTGCTTCTTGGGAGGAAAGCGATGACAAACCTAGATGGTATCTTAAAAAGCAGAGACATCACCTTCCCGACAAAGGTCCGCATAGTCAAAGCTATGGTTTTTCCAGTAACGGTGTATGGAAGTGAGCGCTGGACCATGAAGAAGGCTGACCGCCGAAGAATTGACACTTTTGAAATGTGGTGCTCGAGGAACTCTTGAGAGTCCCCTGGACTGCAAAGAGAACTCTATCCATTTTGAAGGAAATCAACCGGCTCATGGACCAGAGCATGCAGGCCCTCCTTTCTTCCACTGCCTTCCGGAGTTGGGTCAAATTCATGTTGGTCACTTTGATGACACTGTCCAACCATCTCATCCTCTGTCATCCCCTTGTCCTCTTGCCTTCACACTTTCCCAACATCAGGGTCTTTTCCAGGAAGTCTTCTCTTCTCGTGAGATTTCCAAAGTATGAGCCTCATCTTCAGGATCTGTCCTTCCAATGATTCTATGCATGTCATAGAACCTTGTAATGGCTCTCTGCATCACCAGGGTGGTGCCATCTTTCCTTGCTTGTCTGCCATGTCGAACCCTTGTCTTCTCTGCCTATGTGGTAGGTGGGCAGAACTGGCTCTGTTTAGGCTACCTTTAAGGGCAGAACTTCCTTGAGTGGGTCTCAGCCTACCAAGACTTCATTACTATCTATCTGTGTGGTTTGTATTTTTGTTGCTTTTAAATCTCTTTCAGTAATGTTTTATGTAATATTTTTAATATGTTTATTTTATTCCTTTTAAAAATATATTGCAATATCTTAATGTTTTCAGCTTTCAATGTTGTATTTTTTTATTATGTAAGCCATCCTGGGTCCTTTTTTTAGGAGAACGGTGGGGTAAATGTAATTTAAATAAATAATAGTCTGCGGAGTTGTCCAGAGAGGAAGGAGACTGCTCTTCCTTGCCTCTGTCAGGTCCTGAATTCTTTAAAGGAGGGCCACAACAGTAAAGAGGAACAGCCAACGCCAGACATTCAGATGGCTAGCGCCAGGCCTGTTGTTGGAATGAAGGCATTGGCAGAAGCCCAACAATGCTGACCTGCTGTGGGGATTATAATGTCTTCCCTTGTTAGTTAGCTAGATCAGCTTTGATCTCCTAGTTCAGGATAGAGGACTTGACTCAAGTTGCTGTCAGGGAGGGCGACAGGCTGTCCCCACCCTCCTTTCCTTTATCCATTCCTCCTGCAGTTTGCCAGGCCTTAGCTATGCTTGGTTTCTTCTAACATCCAAGGAACTGAAAAGCCAAATATCAGTTCTTGTTAAAGAGTCTGAGAGGAATCTCATTACGTCTTGGGAGGAAGTGGAGGGCAAGTGTAGTTAAAGTGGATGCCACCTGGCATAGAATCCAGGACAGCAGTAAATGCTAGTCATTCCAATTAAATAAGTTTGTGGGGAAAAGAAGTCATATTGCTGTTGTATACAGAAAAACAATAACTGAAAAACTGCACACACCCACGACCTCTGCAGTCCCACTTTGGTTAGGAGCACCATCAGCTGTGCAAACACGTGCCCTTTGGAATCGCAGTCATTAATTTAACATGGTTTATTAATGAATTATTTGCTATTACAGAGGGTTGCAGAAAAAAATGGAGAATATATAATTAACAGGGCTAGATATATAAAAAAGGCAAAAAACTATAGACAACCTGTGGCAGACTTTTATTTTCTCTATGGAAATCTCTTTACTCTTGTCGTCATTAATTTGATGTCTGCTGTGGGACCTGATCCAACTAAAGTGCTCAGTTTTATACAGCTGTGCAACAGACATCAGTGTTTAATGGCAGCTCATCCTTTTTTCAGATGAGATATAATGGCTGAAAAGCACCCCAATGCAATATGATAGCTGGAATAGTTTTTGATCAGATTAAAAGTTTACCAGATCATACTGGGCCAGTGACAGGCCCTTAGCATAATCTGTTAAAAACCTGTCATGAGGATAGTGCAAGTTGGGGGAAGATAATAATGTATTCCAGAGGTTGGGAGTCTTTGTCACCTTGAGGACCAAACTGGCTCAGGGCAAGATATTAAGGGGGCACATCTAAATGTGGGTTGGGTTGACCTCTGTTATTACCATGTGGCCCTCAGTTTCCTTTCCCAGAGTCTATTCAGACACATACACCTATCTCAGTTGGTTTTACATACCACTGCCTTTTAGATTAGGATAACACAATGGAGAAGCAAAGCTGACTAAACCCCAGCCCTGAGACCACTCCCTGAGGCTGCAGTTTGGTCAGGAGATGTTTCCCACTCTCTTTTTCTTCAGAGGAGGGACAGAGCTCTGGGAAGTAGTCTTTCTGGAGACCTTAGCAGTCCTTATTTGGCCTGTGGGCTGACATCTATTGTCCCAAGCTCCTTTAAGGAAGGGCATTTTTGTTTCTGTTTTTCAAATAAAGCTGAGGTTACTGAATAACATTCTTTTTTATGCATGACTTGGTAAGATTTAGAAATGTTAGAAGGAAATAAGAAAGCAGAGGGTCATGGGATATAGCTGTGGACTTCTTGCATTGACAAAAAACTGGGCCAGAAGACTTTTGAGATTCTTTGCAATTCTACAATTCTACAGCTGAAATCCTCTTGCTTAGACCAGACCCATTGAATCACTGGGGTTTCAGTGGGTCAACTCCTCCCTAAGTTTTGTTGACCCAAATGGGCTATTCTAGTTGCAACCACTATGCTAAAGTAAGTTACAACTAGAATAGACCAATTTGAATCAGTGATAAGTATGGAGGAGATGAGTCCCCAAATCCCCATTGATTCAGTGATCATGTTCTAGTACAACGTTGTATGCTAAGCTACAGGAGTTCAGCCTAATTCTGAGTTGAGGATAAAAGTTTTTGGGAAAGGGAACAGTCTTTAATTGTGAATGAGTATTGGGTTGTCAAAACAAAACAATTTGTGATGACAGATATTATGTGAGAACTGTTAATCTCAGAAATTGCTCTTAAAACAGCAGGTCATCCTTCTGCATGAATTTGCAGAAATATGATGTGTTATCTTGTGGAGACTACAGTTCAATGCAGAATATGTTGGGCAGGAAGCATAAGCCTGGAGATGCAAAGGCTTAGAGATCAAGGAGCAACAATGCCCACCTTAGTCCATGTCTACATGGCTGTGTCCAAAGAGAATGAGACACAGCGTTAGCAGTGCCTGAACAGAAAGCAAACAATCCTTTATTGTACACAGTACAGAATGTAATGCAACTTTTGCAGGAGATATCTTATATAGCCCTGCTCAGGCAATAGTCATTTCACACCAATCCTCAGATTAACCCTTTCTCCATTATAGACTTCCCAAACCAAAACTGAACAAGAACAAACAGCTAACCCCAATGTAAAGCCTTGGGGTACATTGGGGCAGCAGCAGGATCTGCTGCCACCCTGTGCTTTGTGACAGGCCACTTGATACATTCTGGGGAGAGTTGCTGAGTCGTCTACAAAGAGTTAATCTTCATCCTTTTTTTAAAAAAAGTGAAGTTAGTCAAAAACCCAAACAAAGATAACAAGGCAGAAAAAGAAATTCTATACAGCATTTACAACAAAACATGGAGCCTGTATGGAAAAGTATGCATATCTGAGTGAAGCATGTTATAGCTGCATGCCAACGATGCTCATAAGAAGGAAAAGGTGGGATTTCCAAAGGTCCCAAGGTTATTTTACACACACCTGTATGTATGTATATGTGTGTGCGTGTGTGTATGCATGTCTGTATATAATATACTGAGCAACTTGGACCTTTGTCCCTTATCTCATTTTTTTTACAAACCCAGGTTAATTTTTTTTCTTCAAAAAGAAGAGACCTCTTAACATACCCAACTGGCATAAAGCATCTGAAAGAGGGTAATGCAACTTTCAAATTAAGCTAAAATAGGTCTGTTGCACCTGTGTGGCTTGTAAGCTCACTGAGAAAAAGGTAGTTCAGCGGTAAAAAGAACTGTGCTACCTTGGGGAAGTTCAGTGGCTAAATTTCTCTCCTTTTATATTACATACCGCTCCCAGCCATACACACACAGCCAAACAGCCTGCATTTGCTGCTGTACAGGAGCATCCTCCAAATACAGAACACATTGTACAAAGTCTCCTTGACAGGATCCAGTGCAGAAATTCTCACAAGGTGGAGCAAGCCCAAGCCAACCCCCCCATGCCCACCTACTAATGCAAACTGCAGTGCCCTTTGCATTGGCACTGCTGGAAGCCAAAAAGGAAAAGGGAAGAATAAAAGCAGAAGGTCAAATTGCCTTGGATACAAAAACCTACAAAAAATCTGATTACAAATGTTGCCCCACAACAGAAAAAAAGAATTTTAGCTAACCCTCCTATGTCCTTAAAAACAAGCTATCCATGTGCAGCCTTGTAACAGAGAGGATGGCCAGGGGTCTGCTGGGCTCATTTGGATCTGGTGCTTAAGTGCTTTGTTGCAGCTTGGAAAAAATTTTTCTTTCAGACCAGTTTCTAGAATCCTCTGTTCATGCTGTCTGGGAGATTTGGGGAGTTGTACGTAGTTACCCAAAATGGCAACTTTCTCAAGCTCATGTTGCTTATTACAGACTAAAAGATCAAATAAAATTAAACTGAAACAAAGAAGGAATCAGAAGCAAAGTCCTTCTTTTGACTGAAGACCTATGCACTGAGAACCCAGTGGGGCTGTGCTAATTCAGCCATGCCAGAAGCACCACCGTAAGCCATGACCTATAGCTTATGCTGCATTGGTTCCCCTTGCTCTCTGCAAATCAAAGCCCTTTCCCATTATACAAGGTAGATACAATAATTTGTGATTGTTACATAGCATATTTTCTCCAAAATGTGTTTTCAGGTCCTGGGAACATGTACATCACACACATGTCCCTTCCGAGAAGGGCCCAGAAGACATCCCACTGGAATGAGCTCTCCATTTATTTGCTCTTCGTGGTGGCAGCTGTTGTAATCAGCAACAGGAGGTCCTACTTGCTCCTAGCCATGCAATTGTCTGTCTTCAAGTTGGAGGGCCACAAAGTTAACTTTAGGCTCTTCTGATTTTATATCTGAAAAGAGCAGTTTTATGAACAGCAGAAGTTCTTTACAAAAACAATTTGCCCTTATTTGGTGGAACCAGAGTCTCTAAGGTCAGCTGCTCAGCAAAGTCAGTAAGCAAAACCTTCAGCATAGGGGAGGTTGCTGCAGTGATCCAGGTCTAGGAGGTATGCAGAATTATCTTCAAAGTGTGTCAGAGGTAAGGTGTCATCCTCATTCACATGGCAGTCTGGTTCAGCTTTTAAAAATGGGCGCTGATTGTCAGGGAAGGCCATGGAGAAGAGGGCATCAGGGTCACAAACAAACTTGTAGACATACCGCTCTCCAGCAACCTGGAACCAAAGAGAGACATTTCCATTAAGGCAATGGCGAGCAGCTTCAAGTTTGTGGGATCTATTTTGTTTACTGAACCCTGAGCAGCACTAATAAAAATACAACAGGGAGGGAGATAGGGAGGTAGTACAGATCATGGGAGTTCAGGGGAAATGGGGTGGGGAGGCAGGAATCAAAGTGGCCACTAAAATGCATAAAGGTCTGTTGAAGGAAACCAGTTAATATTCTTATAGGGCAGGAACACTGAAACCAAGAGACTATTTGCACAGTACAAATTAAAGACACAAGACGAACTAAAGGCAGAGACAGGGCTTTTACAAACATGTAACTTTCATATTGAGCTGGAAATCAATAACCCTTGCCAGTCTTTCGCAAACCACTTAAGAGATCTGCCAGTAGGTATTTTGTACCTATTCCTGCATTAGGGTGGTACGGCACAGAGCACTAAGAACACAAAGATTTCACACTACCCCTTTTTAGATGCAATATGTTGGAGTGGGGCACACTCAGGCAACAGACAGCCTTTTCTATGGGGAAACAGCATGGCTGTTTCTTTTTTTCTGTTAAGGCTAGATGATGGGGAATAGGAAGGGAGACCTCATTCTTAAAGGGGAGAATCCATGAGTCTGGTCATTTTGAGCTCTCCACTGTGGACTTGGCAGAGAATTTCAGACTAGAGAAGTTGATAGTAGACTGCTAGTCAATTCTAGTTGTGGTGGCTTTGTTACAGAAGTGAAAAATGATAAATATGTGCTACAGACCTTCATTAAAAGACTGTGCTGTTTGCTGTGTACCTTCTGAGTAACCGTAACATAAAAGATACTCTGAAAAAAGTTAGCAGTGATGGTGACTATAACCTCCCAGAACCAACTTCAGATACAACAAGTAGTACTCACTTGTGAGACTTGTGCATTTATATTCCAATAAGCAATTGCAATAGAAATGAGTGTGCCCTTTGGGTGAAAAATCTCATTTGCTCTACAAGGTAACAGTGCATTTTGTAGGCTGGGAAAATGAAAAAAGTGAGAAAAGTACATCCTCAAAAGAAGATCCGTAGATTGCTCGCATTTGCTGGGGTGTATGTGCTATAAACAGATTGTCAGGAAACAAATTTGCTGGGGTGTACGTGCTATAAATGGATCATCTGGAAAGCTACCAAGAAATGGTGTGCTGGCTCCTTCTCTCAATTAGGCAGATGGATGAGGGAGGGAGGCTATCTTTGTGCCGATGCCGACTGTTTCCTTACAGTTGCACTGTTCCCACGTAGCAGAGATGTTCAAACCTACCTACCTTTTGCATTATGCCTTTTTCATAGTAGTAGCGAAGGGAACGGCTGAGCTTGTCATAGTTCATAGCTGGACGATTTTTCTGGATTCCCCATCGGCGAGCTACCTGAAAAGGCGAAAAATACAACCATGAAGCTCTGCCAAGCCTGCCTATTTTCTGCTATAACTTAGAAGTACTGTATTAAATTGTTTAGGATCAAGTTACTTATGGAGATATAAAAATCAGAAATGCCAACCATGGTACAGTGGGGTCTCTACTTAAGAACGTCTCAAGAACAATCCAACTTAAGAACAGCTCCATTTCCTAAATTTTGCTTCTACTTGAGAACAGAAATCCAAGATAAGAACAGGAAAAAAACCTTTCCTGCTCTTTTTTTAACCTTAGGTCATCTTAGGTTAAAAAAAAAATCTCCCCCTAGTGGTAGAGTACATATTAACCAGCTTTGCATTAGTTCCTATGGGAACTAATGCTTCAATGTACGAACGCACCTCTACATAACAAAAAAAAAAAACAGCCAGACCGGATTAATTGCTTTTCAGTCCATTCCTATGGGAAATTTTGCTTCAACTTAAGAACGTTTCAACTTAAGAACACCATTCCAAAACGGATTAAGTTCTTAAGTAGAAGTTCCACTGTAGTTTCTATGGATGGAAAAGAGCAGATACGGATTAAATGGTTTTCAATGCATTCCTATGGGAAATGCAGATTCAACATAAGAACGTTTCAACTTGAGAACCACCTTCCAATACGGATTAAGTTCTTAAGTAGAGACCCCACTGTATTGCAACAATTTCCATAATTTAGTATGAGGGCTCTGGTCTTTTTTTGTAGAAAATATCTGGCTACAGAGTAATCATAGATCCTTTAGCCACAGATTGGGGGAATCAAACATGACACTGGGATTTCACAGGTATTTGAGCCAGCACACCTTTCTATTAAGTTTGCTGGGAATAATAATTGCCTCTGATTGACTGCTATTGCATATTCCAATGTAAAGTCTCTTCCAATATTTCTACTGTGTTTCCCCGAAAATAAGACAGGGTCTTACATTAATTATTTTCAGGGGATGTTTAATTTTTTTCAAAATCTATATTTATTTAAATATAGTAATGTCATCATCTTCTGGTTGCTGCACAATGCTGCACAATGGTGGAGGGTGGGGCTTCACTTAACTAGGGCTTATTTTTTGGGTAGGGCTTATATTACGAGCATCTTGAAAAATCATACTAGGGCTTATTTTCAGGTTAGGTCTTATTTTCAGGGAAACAGGGTAATTGCAGAACATATGGGATTTTGTCTGATGATTATTCCAGTAACCTGTATTCACACTGAACAAGGAGGTCAGAATTCCTCAAAATCATTCACTCCTCTTACTCATTAAGGAACAGAATTACAGATAATGGCTCTATACCTGAACCATACTGTACTTATTGTAGCTAATATTAGCATCCGTTACTTATAGTGGCAGCAAGGCCTCTGAGCTGAAGATCTAGGTTTTTATGTTTTCTTCCACCATAACATGTGATTACATCTGTCAATGAACCTTGAGCATATATACTTAAAAAGTTTTACTGAAAATGGAATGCCATAATCAATAGAGGGGGTATTATAGGAATGTAGTGTCCTGTCTTATCCACATAACTGTCACCTAAATGAATAATGTACAGTACTGAGATCAGTGGGAGATGTCGTCTTGCAGCATTCATCATTTGCATAATTCACAACCAGTATATATGGCATACGTTTAACACAGACAACTGACATCTAACAAATCTAATAAAAAATTCACCCTTTGCTAGGCCTGTCCAAAGATGCTGATGTTATTTTCTTTCCCAGCCATCATCTATAAAGAGGGCAGGGAACCTGTGACCCTTCAGATGTTACTAAACTCCAACTCCTGTTAGTCCTGCTAACAGTGTCAAGTGTGAAGGATGATGGGAATTGTGGTCCAACAATAACTGAAGAGCTACAGGTCCCCCGCCTTGACTTACAGGAGACCGACACAAGTGCACTATTTAACTACATGTAGCTTTCAAGAAGACCAAAGCAGCAAATACCTTCCAACATCAGTTAGCTAACATAAGCACATACCAAGAGATGGGAGGAACCATATCTCTTCTCTTGGATTACTTGCTTTGCAAGATCGTCGAGAAACAGCCAGGTTCTGTTGGCCAAGGGATTCAGTATCGATCACTGGACCATTAGCATGTCATGCTTATTGACTGCAATGGAAACCACAGCCAGCAAGATATGATTGAGAAACCTAACTAAGACACAAGTGAGCTCTTAATGGGTGTCAAGAGCACTGATTCAATTCCAATATGATTCTGGAGCAGTCATGTAGAGGGGATTACTCATTTCAGCTCTCTTTGGGAGCAGGATCTGATGACATAAGCCTGTTGCCAACCAACCCACTATTTCCCTGGGGAGTTCTGGAATGGACAATCAGCCAAGTGCTCAGAGAGATTAATGGGATTTCCTAGCACTAAGTGCACTGAGGCAATCTGAATCCACCTGAGGCACTGCAAAAGCCCACAGCAGTAGTCTGAGCCAAATACAGAGGATGTTTCCAATGCCTTCAGCAACTAAACAGATTTCTATATTAACATGGCACACCAGTCAGACTAGTTTCTCTTTCAAAACACAGAAACAGGGAGGAAGTGGGAGGCATGGATGAATTAAATGAGGATATCATCTTTAGAGAAGCTGAAGATACTCATTCAGTGCTATATATCACTCTGGCTCCTGCACATAGCACTCTCCTCTCCCTCCACATTCCTGTTCCATTGTCTACTACAAGGTTTCCAGTTTAGGCCATAGGAGAAGCTAAGAGCAGAGGTGCTGGTTAATTCCCTTTCATGCTCTTCTTTCTCCTGTCAGTCATCCCAAACCTTTTTCTTTTGTTCTCACAACCCAAGGAAAAATGCAGTAGTGTGGTGTTTCTGTACATGAGTATTGCAAACATAATGAACCTCCAGAGATGTGAACTTTTTTTCTTTATCAGCTAACAAAACTGTAAGAAGAGTGACAGAAACTCGACCCAAACTGGATGATATATGTAAATTAATCACCAACACTCTGCCCAAGCAGGAGTTGCTTGCAGGAAAAATTGAAGTCATACAAATGGCTCATCAAAGCAAAATGGATCAGAAACATATATCTTTATTGACCAAGACAGAAGTTCCAAAGCCCTAAGGCAACAGCTCTGGATATGCAGTCTTTAAGTCCCTAAACCAAGCTGGTAAGGGCCTGTTTCTCTCAGGAGAAGCCTAGTGATTCCTGCTATCTCCAGGTCTCCCTCTGTCTTACTCAGCCAGAGTTTAGCATCACAGCCCTCCCCCTCAAGATTTCCCCACCCAGTGAGCTGAAGTCTGTAGGGGCTATATTTAGCAGAATGAACAGTATATCCATTACTGCAGTGGCAGTGGAAGAAAAAGAAGAAAGAAAAACCTTGTTCTGTTGCTCTGTTTTTGTGCTAACACACTGCAATAGGCTCTTAATGGCACACGGAATCAACCCTCCTCTAAATGGTTCCACAGTGGAAACATGTTCAGTTACATTATGCGTGTTCAGACACAGGCTCATTGCATATGTACGTAGCAACAGGAAAAGAGCTGAGAGTGCATTGCCAATGTAAAGATTTGAAGCAGCCCTGTAGTGATTATTATGTAATTATCTTCCAGCATCCAGGCTTTGATTAAAATTAAAACCCTGCAAGGACTTCCCTTTACTGCTATGCAGCATGGTGCAGAAAACCACAGACTCCTTCAAAGCCCCTCTCATCCTCCCACTGGACATTGTTGTCAGAAAGCAAAGGCTGTTAACATCATCTGCCCTTCATTCTCTTTTAAAGAGCCCACTGCTTCCATTTTTGGGGGGCAGATGTGGAGGACAGAGCTCTCTCTCTCTCTCTTTGTACAGGGAGTGCAGGCCTTACAAATCTCATTGCTCATCTCCCACTCCTACCTCCTTGGCCTTCGCTCCAAAGGAAATGGCTAGGCAGCAGAGATTTACAGCAAAATGATTTTTTAGATCAAAGCAGTGTCTTTTTCGCAATGGAAGGCAACTGAACTAGAGACGATGACAGACCTTTGACTAGAGGAGATTGCCAAATTGTTATTTGAAAAGAAGAAGAAGAAGAAAGCACAATTTCCATGCAGAGTGTACTGTATATTATGGATAATTACCCACTATGCACTGCTTGGCTGTGCAGCTGTTTTCAATTATTAGTCAAACAGCTTCCTTCTTGGCATCGTTCAGCACAACCCAGTTCGCCACAAGAGTCTTCTCAGTAATTTCTGGGGTTTATTTACAAAACCAGTGTCTCCACAGGGTGACAAGAGAGCAAAGCTTACGGCGACAGTGGAAATTAGCAGGAAGCCTTTTCTGAGCTCCAACTAAGTATCTGAAGTTTAGTGAGGGAAGCTTCCAAAAAAGGTGGGTGGGAGGGAGAAGGAGAAAGGGATGAATCAGTAAAAATAGAAGTGACGACACAAGAAATCCATCCCTATAACATATGCTAGGAAGTGAATAGGTGTAATAATATAAACAGCCATGCTGCCCTGTCACAATATGACTTAAAACCTATAATGATGGTAAGATACAACGACCAGGATACAGAACACTGGAAATGCAAATCTCCAAAGAAACACAGACTGAAGTACAATACTAGAAATTCAGAATCCAACATAGGATTTATGTTTGCTCAGCTGTGTACAAGACTTGGGTAATGTTATTTTAGGGTTCCAGATTAAACTTCACAACAGGCCGGTCAGTTCATCTATTTTAGATTATCTTAATCTTAGAACTGCAGAGCAGGAAGGGACCCTGTGGATCGTTGAGTCCACCCCCTGTCAGGGAGGTACAGTGGCAAATCTAACTCCCCACCTTCCATTTTGCAGTCAGATGCCTAAACTACTGAGACATCCTTCGTTCATCCTTCGTTCACATATCAGCAGAAGAAAACAAGTAACATTGTTCCACAGGTGCATTAAAGAAAATGCAAAATGTCCCTGTTATTGAAAGTGATTAGCAAAAAGACAAAACAAAACAAAAAGCCACTCTTTTTTTGATAACAGTCAATGAAATAGTTTATGTTTACTGCA